TAAATTTGCCCGCTTCTGCTGTGCTCCCATGCTCCCACCCATTTCCACCGGGCGGGGGAGAGGGAGGGCTTCGAGGCGGGGTTGCTGGACCGAGAGGAAGGACCTGCGGATCCAGCCAAACGGCAAAAGATGATCAATAGCTGTTGAGACACTCTAAGATCCGAGGCCGGGGTGGGAAACAGGGGAAGCAGGGCTCATGAGAGGGCAGAGGAAATGGTTTAGAACCTGCCGGGAAGTGTGTACAGTGGTGCGGCGAAGGACACGGGCAGGCAAGCGGAGAGCCCGGTAATGATGGCTCCTGGTCGTGGTCAGGGCTTGATCACGGGATCGATCAGGTTATGCAAGTGGGAGAGCTGGGCGGGGCGCTTTTCCGTACTCTTCCGGTGCCGGCAGAGAGGGCCTATCCCTGAAGAATGGACGCAACACATGCGAGTAGAGCGGTGGATTGGCTGTCAAACCGCCGCATGCGGGTGGCCGCCGCTCGCTGTTTCCTTTTCAACACCAGTTAGGACATGTACGTCGGTTTCCCAGCGAATTTGAATCAGAGAAGATAATTTTATGCAGCACCCTCCTAGTTATGTTTGGGTCGCGTGATAGGGAGCGAATCGTCGTAATTGAAAGCATTTAAAAGAGATGCCGAAAAGGCCGCACTGGGACTGGGTGGTGGGGGAGGAAAAGTTCCAGAGAGGCTCTGTTTTGTTTCCACAGAGAGATACCTGCACTACCTGTTTGCAGCCGCACGATCGCTTGGGAGATGCGGAGCATTGAGGACAGTCGCATACATGCAAGGGGGATGCTGTTGGATCATTTGTTTACATTGAGTCTCCATTTTGGGACATCTGGAGAAGTGGCATTGACTTAAGTCGAGACAGGGCTCGTAAAAGGACGATAGCTCGCGAAACCCGGTGTCAAAATCACGGACAGAGTAGAATGAGGGTCCAGGAGAGTAGGATCAAAGAGGCTTGCGAAGTGTGCAGGGTGGAGCGTGTTGTGTCAATTTAGAGGGCTTGCGGGGATGACCCTACCACGTGTTCAGGGTAGCCAGGTTATCACATTACCAGCGGCGTATCCTCTCTTCAAAAGGCAAAGACAATGGTAGCAGGAGCTGCTGCTGCCAGAATCCCAATACCAAAAGCACGAAGAAAAGCAGTGCTAAGGGTCACGAGTCGAGAGGGAGGGATATTAAGATCGGGCCCAACTTTATGTGAGACGATTTGTTTTCCATAGATCCTTTGCTCGGGATGTGTCTTTGGATACGTGCTTATACATTCGTGTTTGAGGGCGTACCCTGGGACCTGTTGTCAATTTTTACTTCGCCTTCCTGCGAGTAAGAGGTTTTCTGCACACAAAGGACTCGTATCCGCCTGCAGTCAGATTTATTTTCTTAGAATTTTCCGGGACTGTGTCCATTCAAATTGTGATAATGCAGAAGCAAATCAATCTATTTTTATATACTAGCTTCGGCTCGGACTGGTAATTGCTTTCCTTTCTCATTCCCGATTTTTTTAGTGTACATAACGTTTTCCACGGTTTCACTCTTTCTGTATATACATTCACGACATCTGTTCGATCATCTCTCTTGAAGGGCACGCCAGTACTGCCCTGCTTTGTACATCATATTATGTACACTAAACTAGATAGATTCCCCTTCTGTTTGTTTCCAAATCTTCGTAATGACCGTAGTGTCTCATGGCTGGCTATGAACCATCTGTATCCCCCTCCTTCACGCTTGTGATGCTCCACCAACATTACTTGTCATCACCTGATAGAGTCGAGGACCCTTTTTCAAAAGATAACACTCGTTGTTCAAGACATCGAGGAAGCGATCGAAATCCGCGATCTGCAGTCGAAGCTTTTTCTCCGCCAATGTCTCCAGGTCGGCCCGGGGGAAGAGACTCGAACCCCGCGAGTGGCTCTCCTTTGTCAGCGCCGACACAAAGGCCTTGACTTGTTTCGAAAGGGACATGCTCCCTGATTGGAGGGCAAAGTCAATCACTGCGCCCGCATCTGTGGTCTGAGCTGCCTCCAAGGATTCTTGCATGATCTCGATCACGTCCAATGCGTCATTTTCTGTCACCTCTTCGCGCAATTCTGCTTTCGCCCGGGCCTTAGAGAAACAAATAAATTGGTAAAACAAGAAATAGCACTCGTAAGGAGAAAACAAGAAAAGGCATTGAGTATTGGAGGTCCTGAGGCAGTGCATACTTCCCTCCGTGACGCCTACCTGTGCCAAACGAATCAGGCTCTCCAATTGACGCGTGGTAATGGGACATGAACGATGAAGACGGGCTTCGGCACGCATGTGCATGTAAAACTCCTTGAGGGCCGCGGCGGCCGGGGGGGTTATACGTGGATGGACGTACTGCAGGGAAGAAATGAATGCGAAGACGATCAGAGTCACCCAACCGACAAGGAGAGAACCTTATCGTATGTCGCATGTCAAGCGGTGCGGGGGATAGTATAAATTGGTGATCAATGGGCAAAAATTTAGGATAAAGAGAGGAATTGCACGCAAAGCGAGCCCCACCTTTTGAGCGTACGCAATGTACTTGCGGAGGAGCTCCTTGGGGACAGGGTCATCGCCAACGGCGTCGACGCCCATGCGCAGTCGTTGCGACAAGGACCGGGACTCCCGGTCGTTCAAATCCTCCAAACTAGGCTTCCTACCGCCCGTGCCCGAGTTGTGCACCGGCAAGTGTGACCCTTTACGTCCCTGGCCACGGCGCTGTGCGTGTGCTCGGACAACCTGCTCCGAAACCCGGGCGTCATGCTCGTCGTCGGCCCGGTCGAGCATGATAAAGACCAGGTCAAAGCGACTGAACAAAGCCCCGCTCATTTTAAGGTTCTCACTGACCGTCTTCCCTCGATGGTACTGCCCTCCCACCGGATTGGCGGCAGCGATGACAGAGCAACGCGCCGACAAGGAGGTGACCACGCCGCTTTTGGCGATCGAAATCTGCTGCTGCTCCATCGCCTCTAAGAGGGCGTGGTACGAGCACGACAGTTTGTCGAGCTCGTCGATGCAGCAGATTCCTTGGTCCGCGAGCACCAGGGCCCCCGCCTCCAAGGCCACATCGCCCCGCCCGTCGTTTACCAAGGTGACGGTCAAGCCGGTGTTGGTCGCAAGCGTGCCACACAGGTACACAGCGCGGGGGGCCGCGTCGTGGCAGGCCCGCAGGAG